CACCGTTAACTTGTTCAACTCCCGGTAAAAAATGCACATCCGGTACGAACCATCCTTCTTTCGGAAAAAAAAAGAATCAACGCTCCCCATGGAGAGCTGCTAGGTCGAATGAACTGCTTGACCAGCAGTTCCTATAGCTGCGACGATAGCTCCTGCATCTCTGGTGGCGACAATCAGCAGTCTTAGACCGCTGCGGCTACGACTGCGATTGTGTCGGGGCCGGCCGCTGCTCTCTCAGCTGCAGCTCAATTTCTAACTTCCACCGTCTAGCGGCCTTCTGCAACTCTAGAAGAGTATCACATCACTGGGTAGATACAATATGTCGGATATCGGTCTTGATCATACTCAGATAACGGGTCATCTGAGATTGCTCGGAAGCAAACTCGGGGCAGAACATCGCCCGCTCAGTGAGCATACGGGTGATCTCCATCACCGACTCCCCATCCTATCTCAAACTCAAAAACTCCTATGCCAAACGTTCCCGCTCAACCTGTGGAATGTAATGGGCGCAGAACATATCCCTGAACTGCTCCCAAGTAACAATAGCTCTCTGATCATCAGTGTATGCCCTAGTAGCGAGTCTCCACCAGTCCTTGGCCCCGGACCTAAGCAGGTTCAGATCACACCTGACCTTCTAGTCAACAAGATACAAGCAGGTGAAGAAACACCCCTTCACATCTAAAATCCATCTCATAGCCTTGATGGGATCCTGCATCCCATCAAAAGTAGGTGGCTTTGTGTTATCGAAGTCCCTATATTGAAAACCCCTACCAACTCCTCCCCTGCCATAGTTATATAGCCGATGCAGCTGCTATGGCGGCTGTCTCTACAAGGGCTGCGTACCACTCATCAAAATACTCCACCATGGCGGTCAGCACTCCTTGTCATTTCCAGCAATTTGTCCCAGAACAACGCAACAACCTAATCGTGCAGGATCTCTCGGATCCTGTCATCAATCTCATCTGGCCTCATTTGGCGAATAGTCTCGGGCGCTGTCAGCACCCCATGTTCGCCCTCTCCTGATCCTGATCCTGATCCCAAACCGGATCCAATCACAAAGCGCCTAGTCATCACCATTCTGAAACATAACACAAGGTATCAGATAACTCATACAAATAACTGGGAGCCAACCCCGACAAAACCCTAGGGGTTGTGACTTCCTTGCTACACCTATGGGTCATGTGCTTTCAGTAGTACGGGCCCATACTACCTTCCACACCTACCAATATTTGTCCCAAGTATCATCACAACACCCTAACAATACACATATTCATATCAAGCACTCAAGCCTCACTCCTAAGGAAGGCTAAATGCCTCGAAGTCAGCGGACTCAACCCAAACAACCTATCCACCCACGAATCTTCCACCAACCCTGCAGCACTAGTGTGTGCTAGCCATACATAATGTTGGACCCTATAGACTTTCGAATATCCAATCCTACCCTAAGCTCCCAATTAAACAAGAACAGAACATAAGGCTAAATCATACATTCTCAGGCTATAAGATCTTAAATATGTATAACCGTCTTTCATACACTAAATAACTCCAATAATGATGTCAATTTCATATAAAGGAAACCCTAGGCTAGTAGGCATCATATAATCAGGCAATTTTATCATGCAATTCCTGAAGATCCCTAGCCTAGTACTAGCAAGTTGTTCTAACATATCACATAATCAAATAATTGTATGGTATTTTGGGGTCTACTTACTGGCTCCACCGTTACTTTGTTCAGCACCCGATAGTCTATGCACATGCGATGTGACCAGTCCTTCTTCTTGAAAAACGGGATTGGGGCTCCCTAAGGTGAGGTACTCGGCCTGATAAATCCCATGTCTAGTAGCTCCTGCAGCTACGTAGACAACTCCTGCATCTCGGGAGGAGCCAACCGATACGGTGCCTTCGCTATCAGAGTCGCACCAGGAACTAGGTCGATCCTAAACTCCACGTGACGTTCCGGAGGAATACCAGGAAGCTCCTCTGGGAACACGTATGCGTAGTCTCGCACCACCGGAACATCACTCACCGCCACCTTACCCGTCTCCCGATTATCCATAACATAGGCGACATACCCTATGCAACCCTGTTGTAGGTAGCGCCTAGCTCTCGCTGCTGATCATAATGTGGGTCCACACTATGGTCTCTCGCCATGGATTACCAACTCTCCCCTACCTGGGGTCCTGACTCACATTAGCTGTTGTGCGCAATCTATCACCGCCCCATTAGGGCTCAACCAATCCATGCCTATAATCACCTTGTTCTCGTGCAACGGAATGGGAACCAAATCTACTAGGTAGCTCTCCTCGAATATCCTCGGAACACAATCTCAGAAAACCGTTGATGCTCGCACCGATCGGTCATCGGCAATCTCTACCTCTAGAGGGCAATCTGACAAGCCAGAAGACTCAGTGAACCTCTTGTTAAGTGCAAGGGAAACAAATGATCGAGTGGCACCCGAGTCAAACAACATTTGTACTGGGATACCGTTCACATGGAACGATCCTAAACTTATATACACAGAGCACATATCAATATCAATAACATCATATAAAAAGATTGAGGAGGAAGAATCATACCTGTCACTACATCGGGTGGGTCACGAGCCTCCTCGGTAGTCAACTGGAAGGCCCGACTCCTTACCACTAGAGCCTCTGACTTGCCATGCTGGCCATCAGTAATCCGAAGGGTCGTTGGAGCTGGCGCCTTTACTGGCGTTGCTACTATCAGCTGGGGGCAATTTGCCATATTGTAGCCCCTCTGGTTGCAATGTAAACATAGGAACTTCGACATCTGAATAGCAGGTGCAGGGGCGGTACAAATCCCTACTGAAATATCCCAGCTTGCCGCACTTCTAGCATCCAAACGCCCCCAACCTACAATCCCCCTAATGTGTCTTGCCGCATTTCCTACAGTGAGCTCGGCTCTATTGGCCTCTCGACCCAGCATCTGATCCCTTGGGCTTCTTCCCATAAACCCCAGCAACATGCCCCTCCTCAGCCTTCCTCTTCCGGATGTGCTCCAGATCAATCTCTCTCTCCCTTGCCCTGGCAGTCATGGAATCCAGGGTAGGGCAAGTTGAAAACCTAACATGCTCCCAAATTTCAGCCTGTAGCATGTCATGGTAGCGGGTCCTCCTCATGTCCTCGTCACCTGCATACTGGGGCACCAGTAACGCCCTCTCTCGAAACATGGCAGTGATCTCCGCCACAGTCTCTGTAGTTTGTCCTCATGTCTAAGAACTCCCTGGCTAGCTACTGAAGCTCCATAGCTGTGGCGAACTCGTCTCTAAACCGGGTAACAAAGTCCGTCCATGTCATAGCCTCAATAGTCGAGGCTCCTAGAGAGTCACCAACTAACTCCCACTAATCTCTGGGCCCGTCCCTCAAGCACCCTACTGCATATCTCACCTTCGACCCCTTGGGGTAGAAGCTAGTCAACTGTGCAGAATTGCTGTCTGCAATCCACTGCCTGGATAAAATGGGGTCCTTCGCCCCATGGAAATCTAGCACACCACTACCCCTGAAGTCCTTAAAGGATAGCGTGCGTAATCCTATCTGGCTGGTCGCCATGTTGTTCCTGAACGCTCGGAGGCAATCCTCTATTAGCTCGATAATCCATTCCTTGATCGACCCAAAGATGACCGGGGTAGCATCAAGGATGCCTCTAGTGATATCGGACGCGATGAACTCGCGTAGTCTCTCATCCACTGGCTCGGAACCTGAAACCAAACCCGATCCCTCTCCTGAACTGCCAACTGCTGGCCTCGGACGTAGTACCACCATTCTGCAATACATAACGACAATCATCAGTGATACTGCTACATTTAGAGGGTTCACATCTATCACAAGTTCCCTGGTGTTGCCTCAGTCTTCCTAGATTCTAGTACAAATCCTTTGCTTTCGTAAGTACGGGCCCATACTACCTTCCACATCTATCCGTACTTTCCTCAAAAATTGTCTCGAACCCACCAAGTACCTTCTACTATCATTGATCTCTGCTATTCTCATTCTAGGCTTACCCTAGGGTACCTCTGACTCCACCCTAACCTGTCCTCAGCTGCTGAAGGCATCTTTGTAATGCCAATTAGCCAGTACCTAAATACAATCACATGCAACGAGGCCTGGATAATTGAAAGAACATAATTTTGTGGTTTGATCTAGGCATCATTTTTTTAGATGATAGTGTCATTTTGTAGTGATTGTATGTTATCGTGTAATGTGTGCTACCACACATGTGTGTGCGGCCGCACACATGTGTTTGGCTGCACACTCTTGTGTTGGTAGAAGGAGTACTATTTATAGCAACTGAGTTGTGTCAGTTTGTACTATTACTTGTGTCAGAACTTTGCAGCAGTTGTACATTTCTCAAGATGTACTTGACATTTACTGAATATAGATGTGTGCATGCTTGATTTTAGGTCTTCTTCTTCTACATCTCTCCTTTATTATAATCGACTTCATTGATTAATGAATTGGATCATTAAATTTGGGACTAACAATTGGTATCAGAGCCAATTTGGTATCAATTGAAGTTATTTTTGAGTGTGAGAGTGCAAAAATTTCACTGTTTTAAGAATTTTGATCGAAGAACTGTTGAAGGTTTGCTGCCAACTATTGAAGGTTTGCTGCCAATAGTGTGTGCGGTGGAGCGTATCCTTTGAAGTTGTGTGCGGTTGATATTTGTTGTGTGCGGTTGATATTTGCTGTGTGCGGTTAGGTGTTTGCTGTTAAAGTTTGTAAGTGTGTGCGGTTAAGTGTGTTCGGTTAAGTGTGTGCTGTTAAGATTCGTTTGTGGTTTGAAAGTGTGTGCAGCTGACGGTGTGCTGCCACACTATTTTGTGCGGCTGACCGTGTGCTTCCACACTATTTCATGAATAAATGTGTGCGGCTGACCGTGTACAGTTGCACACGTGAGTGTGCGGCTGCATGTAGCTTCGTGTGCGGCTACATCATTTTCATAGTTTTGCCCTAATAATCTTGTGTGCTGCCTTTCAGATTAAAATGGGAGACATGGAGTTCGCTAAAGCACATAATTCTGCAATTTTTCTTGAAGATCCTCCAGCAGCCCACAGTGACTTGAAATTCATTGTGGATGGTTTGAAGAAATCATGCTTGGTTCATTGCTTAACTACAAATCCTGCTATCTACCAAAGTTTGATTAAGGATTTCTGGAGAAATGCTGATGTAAAGAAGAATGATCGAGGTGAAGAATTTCTGGAAACAACAATCGAAGACAAGAAAATTCTAGTAACAGAAAGCATCATCAGAGAATCTCTTCAAATTGAGGACAGACCTGAGTACCTCATGGAGATTGACGTTCATCAAATTGAGAAAATTTTAGAGCATATGGGATACAAAGGAACTTTTCCTCCTACAATCAAAAAACTGCTTCCTCCATGCTGGAAGCTTTTGGCTCATGTGTCCGTGAGTTGCATTTTTGGCCGGAGATCAGGAGCTAACGAGATTTCTCTAGCCAACACTGGTGTCATTGCTGCATTGGCAGCAGGTTTTGAGTTTAATTTCTCAAAATTCATAATGAATGAAATGATACTAAATATTGAAGGAAGCAAAAGAGACAAATTTTGTATGTATCCAAGATTTTTACAAATCAACCTTAACGTAACTCACCCCAAGTTGCAGAGAGGAAATGATACTCTGGATTTCAAATCCATTGGTCCAAGTGCCTTTGGATTAATGAAGCAAAAGAGAGGCGGATAATTTGTATTTGAAGGAAATTTCCATTAATAAAACTTGGAATTTTTAAAGAGGATGTCAGAGAAGAATCAGCAGATCAATCCATGCCGATGGAAAATGAAGATATTCATCACTCTCCCTCCGAGCCTGAAGTGGAGGAGATTCATCACTCTCCCACAGCTTGTGTAGCTGATGAGCATGATTATCAGAAAGCAAATGATTCAAAATCTTCTCGAGGGGATGATGACGATGATCTTTATGAAGATGTGGAGTTTTTGAAAGAAACCGACTTTACAGGAATCAATGATGACATTCCAACAAACATAGAGTTTGATTTTGGTGATAAAGATTTTGATCCTTTTCTTGATATTCCCAGCAGCCGTGTAAATAAAGTTAATGAAGTAGCTTCTCTAGCAACCAAGAATAGAGATGAAGGAAATCTTCTCAAAATTATGTTGTCTACCTCAAATCCCATGGAAATCACAACAAGCCAAGGAGATGTGACATCAGAGATTCATCCCTCTGTCACCCGTCTCAACATCAACTCCAGTCATTTCTATATTATCTGAACCTCAGACTTCTCAGACCTCCATAAGAACAAGCCAATCTCTTGAAAGTATGGAGGTACCCTCTGTAAAATGTGCTCCTGGTTATTTCAACAATCACTACAACCACTGCTCAATCTCCTTGAAAGCAGACTGATGAAGGTCCAAGCACCATGTTCGAGACTGGTGGATCCTCTTCTATTCCAGAATATTCTCCAACACGACCTTCTCTTGATGAAGCTTCTATCATATTAGTAAAACATCTGGCTCAATCTAGTCCAACCTCTTCACGCGGAAAAGGAATATCATTTAACGAGGGTAGGACAGATGATGACAAATCCTCTTCATCTGATCTCCGAGAAGAAATTTGAATTCTCCGTCAACAACTCATTGAAAAGTCAATTCAGATGGATTAGCTTTTTGCACATATTTTTGAGCTCAGGGCAAAAGATGAAGAAAAGACCAAACAAATCAATGATCTACAAACGAGTATTGGATCTGTTCTAGCTAATGATTTCAATCTCAAGAACGTATTTTACGATGCTTTTGGTGAAAAAGTCAAATCCCTCTTCCAATAGCCTCATGGAGTAGTTGATCCTCCTTCTGTTCAATCACCTCCTGCAACTGATGATCTACCTGTTGACCCACCTGTTCCAAGAACAACTACCATTGTCGACAGATTTGAAAAAGAACCTAAAGGAAGCAGAGCCAGAATCACAATCAAGCAGGGCAAAAGAATCGTAACTTCAAAACAAAGCGAAGGCCTTTTATTCATGAAAAATTCTAATGAAAATCGCAAAACAAAAGACCCTGTCTTGACAGTAACAGATTTGAAGAAAAGAAAGTTCGGTGATGAGTATGATGACAGGACAGGCATCCGAATGTGGGCCTTTGATCTAGTGACGAATTTGTGGGTTGTAAATCGAAAATCAGGAGCATCTGAATGTTACAAAAGCACCCATGATTTCAACTCTTGGACCAAAATTGATCTAGCTGAATTATCCAGGTCCCCATTCCATAACCCCTCTGAAGATCCTAATGCTTCAAATTTCAAAAGATTTCTTGATAGACAGGTCAAAGAGAACTTTCCATCAATGAAGACTACAAAAGCCCTATATAAAAAGGACAAAGATGTTCTTGATCCAGAAACAGGCGAACCCATGAAGATTATACTCTGGCCTGCAACTAAGAAACAAAAGGAAATTCCTATTCCTCAACATTTTCATGAGGGATATCTAGATGACATGGAATTTTGGGCATATGATGACGAAACAGCTACTACAACCATCAAATTCAAGAATCGAGAACATATTCTGAGATTGATTAGTGCTAAAGATCTTCTCCGCTTCAGAGAACGGGATATATGAACTTTGGCCCGTCATCAAATAATTTGCGGAGAGGATGTCATGGAAGTTGCTGCTAAAGAATTCACTGCTATGGTAGCCACAATCATAAAATGTGGATGGGATCAATGGGAAGCTCAGATCTGAGGTTGTTTGAGAAGCCTGCTGAGGAGACAAAGGAGTGAAGACAAGACTATGCTAGTCTCAAACCAAGGGGGAGACTAAAAGAACATAATTTTGTGGTTTGAGCTAGGCATCATTTTGTTTAGATGATAGTGTCATTTTGCAGTGATTGTATGTTATCGTGTAATGTGTGCTGCCACACATGTGTGTGCGGCCGCACACAATGTGTGCTGCCACACATGTGTGTGCAGCCACACACAGTGTGTGCGGTCACACATATGTGTTTGGCTGCACACTCTTGTGCTGGTAGGAGGAGTACTATTTATAGCAACTGAGTTGTGTCAGTTTGTACTATTGCTTGTGTCAGAACTCTGCAACAGTTGTACTTTTCTCAAGATGTACTTGACATTTACTGAATATAGATGTGTGCATGCTTGATTTTAGTTATTCTTCTTCTCCATCTCTCCTTTATTATAATCAACTTCATTGATTACTGAATTGGATCATTAAATTTGGGACTAACAATAATCGTTTAAGTAAGGGACTCATCCCTACAACGGTTAGGACTCAGACAAGAGCTGCGAAATAGGGTCAAATCCAATCCTCTAAGATTATTTAACCCTGATCACATGTGACTTTAACGTATTCACCTAATAGCTAACACCCATCACTCCATGTCCCACAAAGCACAAAGGAAGCATCATTCATACAAAAAGGGAATGATCTCAAGCAATCCTATCCTCGTAACAGGAAACTGTACTAGCATACATCCTGAGGTCATACTATCAGGCATAACCTAACAAAGCTATCCAACTGCTGTCTACTCGATACTAGCATGTAATTCTCACATAGCTGAAACACATATAGCAGGCACATAAGGCATCATTCCTAGATCCTTAGTCATATTCTAGCATTGTAACACCCAAAATTTCAAACCAATTTAAACTTTAAAAAAAACATGTCAAGTTCATCAAAACATTACAACTTTGTTATCAAAATACTAATTATCAGAGTTTTCCCAGAAACATAAACATAAGAGGAGGAGTTGTATGATCACACCTTTGCCTTGCTGCGATTCCGTGCTATACCTGAAACAATAAACTGAAACTTTATGCCCGAAAGTATAGTGAGTTACCCCCAAAATACCGATACACATACAGTCCACATAGCCATACCACCAACAGCATATCATAACAATCTGAAACAGAATAGCACATAATGGGTCCACAACTTTACATACTGGAATACCCCTGGGCATACAGTGTGAGTCTGGAATGCTTACCGAGCCCTCAGCTCACATCTGGATTGCCACCAAGCCCTCAATACGAGTCTGGAATGCCTACCGGGCCCTCAGCTCGTATCTCAATTGCCACCGAGCCCTCAGTACGAGGCTGGAATGCCTCCTGGGCCCTTAGCTCGTATCTAGATTGCCACCGAGTTCTCAGTACGAATCTGGAATGCCTACCGGGCCCTCAGCTCATATCTGGATTGCTCCCTAGTCCATAGTATAAGTCTGGAATGCCTACCTTTCCTTCAACTCATATCTGAAATACTCTGGGGTTTTTTGGCTACCGCACGCAGCAGTACAACCTCAACCCATCCCACATAACATATAACATAACTACTGATCATGAAATAATCATATAACATCACAAGTAGTCCTACATGTCTACCTAATTGGCATAACCACTAGCATGCAACACTAACTCATACTCAATAATTAACACTACTAGGGTAACTTATCCAATGGGACGGCCTTGGTACCTTAGAACCCTTAGTATAATGAGGATAACTCACCTCGAAGATGTTCGCTCGGTAGATAAATCCCAACTCTCATATCACTTGCCATAGACTCCACCACCTATTACCATAGTAAGAATATACTCACAAGTCCTCATCCTCACAAAGTACTCCATAAACCAACTAGTTAACCCACGGTCAAAGTCCTCAGTCAAGGTCAACAGTCCATGTTGACCTTAACTCACCGAGTACCCTCGGCTACTCGCCGAGTTCCTTGAAGTTCTTTCCGACTCGCCGAGTTACTGTGGTGACTCATCGAGTTCTTACAATTTTCGATCGAAACCCAAGGATTACCTGTCGAGTTTCCTTCTAGCAACACGATGAATAAACAAGCGTTCATAACTTGAGGAAAACTCATCCGACTCACCGAGTTGTTCATACAACTCATCAACTATATGGCAATCTTCATCGGACTCACTAAGTTGTTCATCCAACTCGTCGAGTTCACGGCCATCTTCATGCGACTCACCGAGTCAACCTTGCGACTCACCGAGTTCATTTAGTCCTTAAGCCATACAGACTCATTTGAGCCATGCAATGGCTCCAAATTACAGATCCAAGCTTCCAGGGTGTGCCTTTCACGTAAACTTGCAGACTTTACGTACATGCATGGCTAAAAAGGCTCTTAATGCCAAATCTAAGCTCTTATTGGGGTCTCAGCCACAAGGAGGGCCTCATCCATGATGAAAACAGAATCTTTATGACTCTAGAACTTGAGAAGGGTCCAGATCTGAAGTTACAACTTCCGATATAGCTCATATCTCGCAATATCACTTCATTCAAACCATAAAAACACTAGATCTCCACCATATGAGGTCTAGAAGGAAAAGAGATAAAGATGATGACTTAATACCTTCAATGGAGACTAACTGAGGTATATCTCGGATTTCCACTCCTTCCTTGTTCCTATCCTCTTGCTCTCTAAGTTCTTCCTCCCAAAAACCTTCTTTCCAAGCTTACAATACACAAGAATGAAGCACTACATGAATTAGGGTTTCTATGAGCTCTCAAGGACTGCAAAGAGACAAATGAGGCTTATGCTTCCTTAAATAGAGTGCAGAACCCCGAGATTTAGGGTTTCATCTGCCAGCTCCTACTCGTCGAGTCCCTTTATGGACTCAGCGAGTAAGTCACTAAATATGCGATCCCACCTCGCTATTGTCTACTCGATACTAGCATGCAATTCCAACAAAGTTGAAACAGATATAGCAGGCACATAAGGCATCATTCCTAGATCCTTAGTCGTATTCTAGAATGATGTTCTACTGAAACTGATAACACAACAAAAACTTGTATGGGTACTTTGGGGAATACTTACTTGAGCTCGGTCGATCGCGCACATCCCACACTTCGTTCTTTCCCAAAACTCTTTTAACTTTTAGAAAACTTTTTTTTGTTAAAGTCTTTTAATCCCTCGATTTGAGTTCAGACACCTCCAAAGGTGTGTCTAAATCCCTCAAACCAGGGCTCTGATACTAACTTGTAATGTCCCAAAATTCAAGTCCAAAAATTTCATTTTTATTTAATTGATTTATAAAATATTTACTAAAAACTTGTCAATATCATGACAAATCATCAAGTATCCAGAACATGTCTCGAATCAAAACACATTAATAGTATAATCATAGTACAATCCCATGAATCAATAATGCGGAAATCTGGTGTGAGTGTGATGTGTAGCTACCGCGCCAGCTCCTTCCCCTTCGATGAAGAGGTACTTGAAACAATACTGAAAACTGTAAGCACAAAGCTTAGTGA